AAATTTGTCTATTTAATTAGATAATAAAAACTTGTAAATACTCATTTTATTTCTACTTGGATCCTAAGATAATTTGATCACGAAATCAAGAAAAAAGGTGGCCTTCAAAAATATTGAGCCGTTTGGCGTGAACTACACCCCCAAATTTTCAAAATAACGAGATTATATAGGACAAACGGCCCAATATTTTTGTAGGCCATCTTTTTTCTCGATTTTGTGATCAAATTATCTTACGATTCAAGTAGAAATCAAATGAGTATTTACGAGTTTTTAGAATCTAATTAAATAGAAAAAGTTTATTTCCCTCCAGATTGGAAACGTCTCAATTCTGGAGTTTTCGTAAATAAAATAGTTGTAGGTTACGATGAAATGAAACTATTTACGAAATTTCAGGCGGATGTTAATAATTCGATAAAAAGGGGTCTGTACCACGGACTATAATGCTTTCAATAATGATCTTTATAATCGACCAAGAAATCATAATCAACTCTTCTAAAATATTTTTATTAACAACAAATATATCCTCAGTTTTTTCTCTTACCGGCAGTATACTGAATGATCAGTAATAGTCCAGTAAATTACGGGTTGACAATAACATTCAAAAAATAAAGACGAAACTTGTCAGAAATTGTTCATTACCCTTCCCATAATAACTGATAAAAAGTCCAAAAGAATCGGTCGGACAGGTTTTGATTGAGGAAGAGTGAAAAAGAACAAAAATCTAAAATTGTTTTTAGTTTTTTAAGAATGTCTCAAAAACTATGTAATTGTTTACAAAAATAATTCAGTACAATACTAGAAGACTTTAAATTTTCAATAAAAATGATCCTATATATTTTATTGATAAAATCAATGGTTACGGAGATATTTATGAGATTATATCTAATTCCACTTTAAGCAAAAATTGCTTCAAATCACGAAATTTATGTGGTTTATAGTAGACACTTTTTGAAGTTTAATTAGTTTTAGAACGTTTTCAATCGTTCAATTTATTATTCGAAATTTCTTTCTTTCAATGATTCTTAAGAGTCATTTACGACCAGGAAACTTAAATTTTGTAATTTTTAAGCCAACCGTTTTTTGTGTAGAATAAAACGTAATAACTAAAAAAATGTTTAATTTACATTACAATAAATTATTTTAAGTAAACTAGGTTAAATTTCCATTAAAAGCAAGTAAATATTGTCTTCTTTAAAAAAATTTAAAGGGGACTTTTAAGTAGTTTAACTAAGCAATGTCGGGTTTTCATAAAATGAAGTATTCTACGTGATTTTTTTTTATAATCCACCAACAGGACTGAAGAATCCGCAATTTCGGAAAAGAACTTCCTTGTTCCATGACCTTTAAGTCTATATTAATTAAGTAAGGTCGTTTTTATTTTCTTATTTTTACTGGAATATAACTGCTCTTTCGACAACTGAGCCGAATTTGTTTTCAGATTTGGCATCAATCACAGATTACACTCTGGATTTTTATTTATGATATTTACAAATGTATTAATAAATAAAATACATTTAGTAAATTTGATAACAAAAAATAATAACATGAAATCACTTGTTGAGAAACTACCCACTGGTAGCACTCTAAAAAAAATGTATTTACAATAGGAGATCTCGAGGCCATCTTCTTTTAAGACGACTCGGAGGGTTATCAGGGAAAGAAGAGGAAGCAAGGTTAGAGACGAAAGGATTCGTATAGTTCTGAAGTTTATTATGGAAGGATAGGTATCTGGATTGGGCCAAATCGGAGACACAAGGAACATTAAGGTCGTTATGGATTATTTTATTGGTGACAAAGTAGGGAGCATTGAGGATTTTCCGAAGGATTTTGGATTGTAAGGATTGGATACGAGGGGAATTTGATGGCTTAGTGGAGCCCCAAAGCTCAACTCCATAAGTCCAAATAGGTCTTATTGTAGTCATGTGAATGAGTCTTTTGTAATTAACTGGAAGCTTAGAGCATTTGTCCAGTAAGTGTTGGAGTAGTCGGATCTGGAATTTTAATATAGACCTTTGTTCTAAGTGTCTATCTTTACCATTTCCGATTGTAAATTAGTGAGTAGTCCTTGAGTGCACTGTATGTAAAGAAATCGATAGATCGAACGCTTCCTGAATTACTCTAAATATAGCGAAAAGTGAATTTTGTCCTTAAATCTATGATGAGCCTACAGGGGTGAAGGTTGGCTGCTGCAATGGCTGGGTTAGAAACTACTCACGAATATATCGATTATTTTATTTTCGTTTCAATTCATTCAATTTTTTATATGATATTGTTATTTTTACTCTCATTTGTCTATATACGAAATATATATATATTCGGAAAAATCGATTGTGAAAAATATCGAATTCAAGTTTTCAACGGAAATACACGAATTGAGATATACAATATCATGTAAATCTCTTTTAAATAATCTGACTGGGGTTAAATGGCGAATTTTCAAAATTTATTTCTCTGAATTACCTTTAAAATGGTTTATTTGAAATAAATAACATTTTCTTCGTGTTAGTAACTACTAACACTTAGCAATTCTCGGTACTACTAACTTAGTAGTACCGGGAATTGCTAAGTATAAACTATGAATGACTTCGATTAACAAATTTTCGAAGATTGAAAAAAAAATTGCGGAAGTAAAAATAGTATATATATGTTTATTATATTGTTAGAAAGTTTAAGATTTTAGAAAAATGCCAAACGATATATAGAGAAAATAAAATTTGGAAAACTAATATTATTTAATTTTTTTTATAATCTTTATTGACACCTGTCAAAAAAAAAAAAAAATTATATGACAACCAGTGAAATTGATTACCTAATAAAGAATAAATCGCCTGAGGGGCATTAGTACCCAGCGGCACCCCCTTCTGGTGTGATATCTACAGGCGAGTAGGTCACTCAACCAGCTCCTCTTCAGCCTTCTACGGGCGTTCAGCAACCCTACTTGCATTTGAAGCAAATTTTGTCAAGTTTGTTAATTGCCTTAATTAAATATTGTTTTAATTATCGCTTCTTATTTAACAAAAAACTTGACTCCAAAAATCCAAAACTTAAATTTTCATTTTTCTGCAGAAAACCGGCCCATTATTTAAATAAAAATATAATAAAAAATAAAAAAATATTATGACTAAGAAATTTCTATTTCATTCTTTTTACGTGCTGATACATGGTTTTACACCTTTTTTCTAAGGAAGTTTATATGATGTATATAAATTATAAGAGATCATTAATTATTATAATACGAACAATATAATACCGAACTATATGTAGAATATAAATTATCTTTGAATATATTTTGTTGTTGTGCAACATCCGTGCTGGGCTATGCTGATGATCTGGTACTGTTAAGCGAAGACGTTAAAACTATAAAACTAAATACGACAACGTTAATGAAAGCCGGTAAAGAACTAGGACTCGAAATAAACGTGGATAAAACAAAATATAAGGTTAGCTGCAAAAATGGCGATACTACTGGTGATATCGATATAGATGGTAATATGTTTGAACAGGTAAATAAATTTAGGTATCTAGGTTCTACGATAACTAGAAAAAACGAAATTGAAGAAGAGATTAAGGTTAGACTGAAGGCGGGGAATTCTTGTTATTTTTCTGTGACAAAACTACTTAGTTCGCGCCTCTTGTCCCGTAACTTAAAAATTAGAATCTATAAAACAATTATCTTGCATACAGTTCTTTATGGATGCGAAACTTGGCCGCTTACATTAAGGGATGAGCAGCGTCTTAAGGTTTTTGAAAATAAAGGATTGCGTAGAATATTCGGACCGAAGAAGGATGAGTTAACCGGAGAGTTCAGACGGTTACACAACGCCGAATTGCGTGAGCTGTATCCGGGTAATATAATTGAGGTAATTTCATCACGGCGAATCAAATGGGCTTGTAAAGTTGTTGGGCTTAGTAACGAGAGAATTCCTAAAAGGTTAATATTTGCAGTGCCGAATGGTAAGCGTCCGAGGGGTAGACCGAAGCGAAGGTGGGAAGATTGCATTAAAGCCGATCTGAAGGGACTGGGTTTGGACGGCGAACGGTGGAGGGAGGTGTGTGACAAGCGATTGGTGGTGTCGGCATCGAACCTTCGGGTTCGCTAAGCCTTATTATTATTATTGAATATATTTTAAAATTTAAATAATAAGAAAATAGGGCGTGGAAAAATACATACTGCTAGGCCTTAGCCATCTTGTCGACTTTTCCTAATTCCTTAATTGATTTTTGTTTACATATTTTATTTATTCACGTAGATTAACTATTCATTTTTTTTTTCTGTTGGCATCACAGATCATGTAGATCTTTTGCCGCCTTAACAAGCCTGCTCCATCTCTGCCTCTCTTGGGCTATTTCTTTCCAGTTACCTGCATGCAGCTCTGTCGCATGTTTGTTGATTCTGTTAATCCATCTTTCATGTGATCTTTTGTCTATTGCGATCTGATGATGCCCTTATTGAGGCATTCATTGTTACGTTGAGGCTTCCAGGTGGATTGCTACTTCCATGATCTCCGTGCCTTCAAATCATGGGATGTTGATTGACTGAGTTCTGTAAGCAGTTCTTTGATGGTCTTTATTCTCCATGTGTTAGTAATCTGAAGCCAGATCGCTCCAGTTTTCGTGCGGAACATTTTTCTCTCAAATCATTCAACACTTTTTTCTAGAGTGCTGGGTAGAGTGCAGGTATTAGAAATGGCTTTATGTAAACTCTTAATTTGAGATGTCTTGAGATATTTCGGGATTTCAATATCTTATATATAGCCTTCTTAGCAATGTTTATAGTTGCTTTAGAAAGTCACTAAAATTATAAATAAAATATAAATTAATATGTAACCATAACATAACTATAGAAACGTGATTTTGAAATATAAATGTAATTAGAGAAATAAACGATTGTGTAATGATTTGCTGCGTTTCTCTCTATGTTTTATTTTAAAATTGAATTTAAATAAAATATTTAACAACTTTCATTATGTTATTTGAACCTCTTATTGTGATATTTGCAGGGCACAGGGGGATGCAGTCATTGGGGCGGGATGGCTGAGCTGGGTCTTCTGATCGGCGTACTCCTCTTCGTCGGGGCCATCGGGTGCCCGTCCTGCTTCCTGGCCAGGTCGCAGCAGCGGGAGTTGTCCCTCCGCCAGATCAAGGAGCAGATCCTGGAGACTCTGGGACTCCAGCAGGCCCCCAACATCACGGGCCGGCACAGACCGAACATACCTCCGCTGGAAGGCCTCTACGACCAGTTCCAGTTCCAGGCCGATCAGGCGCACCAGAAGGAGGAGGAGGAAGCCGACCTCACGGTGGACAAGGTCATAGCCTTCGGTCAGCCACGTGAGTACTTCGCTCTCTTAAGGCCTTTTATTATGAGCCAAACTGATTATGCCTTTTTTTTTTTTTTTTTCTTTTCAGGACCATTTTCTCACTTCCTAATATTCTGAACTTTCCTTAGAAATTGCGAGACTCTTTTTTATGTTGTTTATTTATAATTTTTACACCCTTCTTAAAGATAAGATATTAACCCAGCAACAATCTGATCTGGTACAGCGAAACGGACATATTTACATGGAAACTTCCATATTTATAATTTTCATCTAATTTTTTAAAAAATTATTTATTGAGAATTATAACATTCTGTTACTTAGACAATAATTATGATAAAGTAAGACCAAATTCAATGGAGGTAGCTCAGCTCATGGTAGGGCACTAAGCTTCCGGTACTCAAGATTCCGGGTTCGAATCCCGGCTCATGGCAGAAAAAATATTCATTGTTTCATTGGCCGTGGGGCAACCCAGGTGTAGTGAGACCCTCTTGGGGCACACCCAGCCTCTATAAAATGGTTATTCTTAATTAAAGGATTGATTAAGAGGAAAAACCTGGCGGTTGAGCATGTTCCTGGCCCGATCCCCTCCTTGCACAACCGTTGTCCTTGAAACAGTACTTTCCCTAATTACTACTGAACCCAAGACGCTCCATGGGTTGTAGTGGCACAGGTTTTTTTTTTTTTTTTTTTTTTTTTTTTTTAAGATCACATTCAAACCATTTATGCAGAAAAGATAAAATATACAGAAGCAAAATAACAATAAAATGCTAATCAAAATCATATATAATAAATAGAAATAAAATAACTTAATTATAAGTAAATTAAAAAAACACACAGGATGACTTGGGGCTCACATGTCAAAATGAAACAAAAGGCTTTTTTCACGGAGAAGTCACTTTTTTCCATATCGAAATTGGAAATCTGACAAAAATTAAATACATACACTTACCTACTCAATCCTATAAAGACATACGTCCCACAAACTTACGGTTCTGAAAAAACAACACAAAAATTACAAACATTTCAATCCAAAAGTTTAAATAATTACAGCAGCTCTCTGGTACATAAACAACAAAACTTTAAGTGACGACTTACGACAACCTATATTGACGAACACATACGTACTCTCTAATCCCGATTTCATTTTAAACTTAAATCATCTGAAGAGGAGCTGGATGAGAGATCACCTTTCCTGAACTAAGGAAATAAACCAAGACCAGGAAGAGCTGCTGCTGGGTACTATTCTTCCTCATGCCTAAAATGCCAATATCCTTATTAGTTACAGCACATCTGTTTATTGTCAAGCTTATAACAGGCTTAGATGGGAATATGAAGAAAAATATATAATAAATAAGTAAAAATAAAACATAGACATACATATATAAAATATTTACAATCAGAAGAGAGAACTTCGAGGATTGCTTGTCCCTCTACCTATAGAGGCTTGTCCCTCCAACTATGGAGGGAAAAGCAGGACTTAAAGAGATCCCTGCGCTACTCTCTCAACCGCATCACTGGTGCTAAATCCAGTAAAGATTGAACGAGAGCGTTTAACCAACTGATGTTTTCAGTGTTGATGCCTTAATGTAGGTTACAGTAAATCAAGACATTCTCCCACGTCTTGTCAATGCCAGAACCCCTATATATCTTGAAATTCTTTTTTAAAAAAATAATAATCTTTTTTAACCATTTTATTAAAATTAAAATTAAAAAAAAAATATTGTGTGATTATTGTAAACAAAATTGTTTTTTCTCTCTTCATATTTCTATCCACGCCTATCATTGTATTGACAATAAGCAGATGTGATCTCATTGTAAAGAAAGTTGGCATTTAAGGCATGAGGAAGATTAGTACCCAGCAGTACCTCTTCCTGGTCTAGGTCTGCTTCATAATTTAGGAAAGGAGATCTCTCATCCAGCTCCTCTTTAATCGTCTCCTGATGGGCATGTAAGCTGTGGCCATGTCGTGGCAAAATCCGTTGTGATGTCCGTGTAGTTTAAAATGAAATCGGGATTAGAAAGTACGTATGTGTAAGTTAATTTTTTTATAATTTAAGTTTTATAACTTTATTCCCTCCGAATCAAAAAACATTTTTTTCTCTTCAAAACTAGCACCAATTATTTATTTTTTTAATCAATAAAGAGTTCATTTATCAAGAATATCTAAAACATAAAAAAGGAAAAACGAATATAATACATTGATGCACGGCATTGCAGTTGCAATTGTAAAAAAATAATAGAATGTGGATATTTTTCAACATAGTTTTTCACAACAGCGAAATTGTAGTAGCACTACTAAAAACACAATGTACATTTTCTAAAATGCCTTTTGACCACTACAGATTCATTTTATCACTAAAATGAACTAAAACTTGATTACTAAGATTACAAATATTCTAGAGAAAATAAAGAACTAAAATAAACAAAAACTAATATTCTTACACATACACTAAATGTCTACAGGGAATGGAAATAAGGCTTCATTTGAATCGTTGATTTGATAAACCCCATACGTCATAGAGACCTAATTTTCTGCATACAAAAAAAAAACTCGTCTAGACCAAAGCGTGATGGGTCATGTAATACAAAACGACCGATAATTCAAATGTGAATGACCCTTAACGTATTATGATTACCACGCAAAACAATAAGAATAATTAAGTTATTATAATTATGATTTAATTTTTTTAGACTTATAGGCCTTTTCAAATCAACTAGCTTGACGAAAGTGATAACTGCCAAAAATATGTAAAAAAAATTGTTGCGATTTATCACACAACTTTCATTTCATACCCTTATTTATTTTTTTTAAGTTAGTAGTTAAAGTTAAAGGATATTATCTTGGATGATAAATAACCAGTATTATTACTCATAATATGTTTATTCTTCGTCGAAAATGATACCGTGTATGTGCATATAAGCATGTGGGTCATCATCAGACGAATAACATCTGGCTAACATAGCACAAAAACTAAGTTAGTCCGATATATAATATATGATATATATTAGGAAAATGAAACGTGGCCGCTTACATTAAGGGATGAGCAACGTCTTAAGGTTTTTGAAGATAAAGTATTTCGTAGAATATTCAGACCGAAGAAGGATGAGTTCAGGCGGTTATACAACTCCGAATGCGTGGGGGCGGGGTGGCCGAATGGGCTAAAGCGTGTGCACTGCACCGCGAGTTGCCTGGCAACCGGATGAGAGATTTGAGAAGATTTAAAAAGTATGAGTTCGCATCCCGGTGACGGAGGGGATTTTAAATTTCCCGCCCTTGCCCTCCGTCCCAGAAAAATCCCGTATAGCCTAAAAGGCGAGGTAGCGAAAAACAAAAAAAAATAAATAAAATAAAATAAATCTCCGAATGCGTGAACTATATCCTATGAATAATATAATTGAAATGATTTCATCCAGGCGAATCAAATGGGCTTGTAAAATTGTTGGGCTTAGTAAAGAGAGAATTCCTAAAAGGTTAATATTTGCTCTACTGACTGGTAAACTACCGAGGGGTAGACCGAAGCGAAGGTGGGAACATTGCATTAAAGCCGATCTGAAGGGACTAGGTTTGGACGGCGAACGGTGGAGGGAGGTGTGTAATAAGCGATTGGTGGTGTCGGCATCGAACCTTAGGGTTCGCTAGGCCTTTTATTTATTTATATTAGGAAAATTAGAGTCAGCCAGTAGGATCAGGTTATCTCTAATAATGGGGCTGATTTAAAGAATATTAGACCAGTAACTTGAGGATCGAAACGGGAAATCCATTTTGCAAAATGTGGCTGTGGTTTTTATTTTTTTAACTTGTATATATTGGTTTAAGTAAATGAAAAATAAAATTTCCCAACCGGTGCACCAAGTGAAAACTTTCTATATGAAAAAAGCAAGATTATTTATATATATATATATATATATATATATATATATATATATATATATATATATATATATATATATATATATATATATATTGTTTTTACATATATCACTCCTGAACGGTGCATCGAAACGAAAAAAGTACTTTTTAAAAGATTAAAAAACGTTTAACAGTACTTCGAACAAGTAACTAAACTTAATAATTTGTTTAGGTGGTACAGTTGATAACCACAATCAACGAAATAAATTGTTATTTTTACCAAATTTGACAAATTAATAGCCATGAGGCTTGAAAATGAGTTCTCTTAGAGAAAATCTTATGAGGAATAATATTCATGAGAAAAAAGTTGAAGAACATCGAATTTCGTGTCCCTTGAGTATCAACAGTTTTAATTGAGGTTTTAATGTAATTTGGTTTAGTGTTGCTCAAAATATGTCTTGATCTTGCACAAGCCCAACACCACCTGACTGTTACAAGACTAAGACCAAGACTGGTCAAGAAATAAATCGTTAATTTGAACAAAAATTAAGGCAAATAGTTATTAATACTTGATAATTTTATTTACTGTTTGTAAAAAATTGATATAACCTATATACTTTTGCAATGAACTGTTAAAATTTTTCATTTGTTCTTAGTTAGGTTTCCCCTATCTGTAAAATTACAGTAATATCTCTTTAGTAATACGCCAGTAGATAACGCCTAAAAGACTCTTGCGCAGGTACAAAACCAAGACTGAGTGCGCAAGACCAAAACTTGTTTTGCATTCGGGCAGCACTGCGTTGTTCCATCCAAAATTATAAATGCAATCATATGCACAAATATCTTCGTTAAAAATCGTGCAATTTTGATAACCTTTTATTTTTTTTTATTTTGTAGGGAATTTGAAAACCTTTTTTATTATCAAAGATCAACTTTTTACTTTATAAATTTTTTCTTACATTTCTGGGGGTCGTACTTATTTTTGCCAATCTGAGGGAGAAGATATTCTTCTTCTTTAAAAATGTCTCAATGATTGAATTTGATGAAGAGTTAACGATGATGGGCGTATCATCTTGAAAACTCAAGGGTGAATAAAATATATTTATAGAAAGCAGTGAATGCTAAAGAAGGAAATATATAAATTTTTAAAAAACAAAACA